GCTTTTGTATGCACGTGCGTGTGCGTGCTAGGAATGATATTACTGATACAATTGAAGCAACTTTAACCTTCCTATTTTTGGATGTTATGCTTTGAACCTCATTTTATAAACATATATTTATGGTGTAGACAAGACGAGGTGGTTGAATTAGCAAGAAAGCACGCGCACGCACGTGGGCTTCGCTCTGATCGGTTGACACAAATATCTCAAAATATTTAATGTTTTTTGACGAGATACTTTGAAATTTAAAACTTAGTCATACATTGAGAAGTTCTTCAATATGATATATGAGTTATGTTGAAAATACGCGCATGCACGTGTACTGCAAATTGATTGGCTTAAACTTCAAAAGGCTGTAACTTTCTTAGTTACATGTATCAACAAAACAGGACGGAATTTATAGATAGGTAAAATGAGTTTCTACATTATGCTACAATCAAATTTGAATATAAGTACATGTATGAACGTATGAGGGATTCTGATTGCTTAATATTCATATTGCTATATTTCTCATAGTTTTCAATGAAAATCTTTGAGATTTCACACATAAGTTTTTCTTTTTATTGTGAGTCTCTTTAAGGGGAAGAAACGTAAAATATCTAGCAAACATGGGTAGGCACATGGGCTGAAATCTCAATGGTTCATACTCAAAAGACTATGCCGCTGTTGTTTTGCGATAAAATACTTCTGAAAATAAAGTGAAAATTTATTAAACAAAAGAATTGCCTAATTTAATGAAGCTTGTAGGGAATGGGGCCCATAGGGGAGTGGGGGAGCGTTTGGAGAACATCTGTAACGGTAATTAGAACTAGTTATAATTTTCTTCTCTATGGTAGTACATGTAGCATGACAATTTGAATTTACTAGATGGAGGTAAAGGCAAAATTTACAACATAATCTGTAACTAATTTTGAATTTACTTGGTAAAGGTACATGCAAAATTTACCACACAATATATGTGTCGTAATAAAAATTTGCTGTTATTACTAGTAGTATAGTTTACAGTTTGGTCTCTTAATAGTCTAACCTCGTTTTTGAGTCAGATGTTGTTGATTGGACGCTGGAGAGAATTTTCAAAAGTGCAACATCTGTTATATTTCCTTTATCTACAGTCAGGTTTGAAGTGATAGGATTTCCTGCCCACAGAAATCCTTTGCTTTCATAGACATTGCACAATGTTATTTGAATAAAAATTGCTTTCGAGAGAATTCCTCCATACTTAATTCTTCTCAGAGTGCATAAACAAATACTCTTCTTGGAGGCATTTTTTTTATTTATGCTTTCCCCCCAAACAACCAAACAATTTTGGGAGGATAAAAGATATATAATAAATGAATAAATAAAATTAGCATTTGGTTGAAAACATGGTAAATTGAGAAATCCAAAGCAAAAAAAAGGTCGCTTTACTTCTATTAGGTTACATAAACATACGAGTTTCCTTTGACTTGACAAGTTCCAACAGATTAATCTTTAGTTACCAACTGATTCGACATATAAAGCCAAGTTTCAAATATATTTCTCTTAAAATATGCACGGTTTCCTTATGCAAGCCTATTTCTAAAGACCTTTGTAAAGCTCATAGAAAATACTTTCACTAGTCAGGTTTCATGCTAACAAAATTTTAAATTAATCCTTCTTTAGGTGAAATATGAAGATAACGAACAGTATTCAAGCTTATAGCCCATTAAACAATACAAATCGGGAGCAGAGTAAACACGGACCTCCAAATAGTCATAGGATGGGTCAGGTGCCGTGGAGGAGTAGGCAACCTCTGTCGACCGGTCACAACCGCCTTGTGCTCCTTGTCATGATCTAGTAAACGGGAAAATCCGTAGAAATGTCAATGTGTAAATAGTGGCCCAACAATAAGTATGAAAAAGTCAGGCACCATTTGTCCTAATGATAGGCTGTATTTGCTGATAAGGTCATTGTATCGACCATAGAACTGGCAAAATGATGACTTCAAATGAGACTGTTGATATTCTTGTTTCATTTATTCTTGTTTCATCAACTTGTTGGTTAATAGCTTGCCTCGTCTTAAAAATTGATCGCACGTAGAGCATGCTCGAATCAGCTAAGAGACATTAACCCCATACGCAGGTGATAAGGGTATATTGCTACATTTGTAAGGGAAGTTGACGATAGAAAAGTTGAAGTCATCACGTTTATCATAGAGTGATGTTGTTTGGTTACCATAAACGACTTTTTCCAGTAAAATACTAGTATCCAAATATGAAACAGTTGTGTCAGACTCTGGGGTATCTTATTTCAAGTTCGTTCACTGGGATATATGAAATCGTCATGGAAATAACTATTGTTAATTGATAATACGTCGTCGATATATCTAAATGTCAAGTTGAAGGTCATGATCAAGTATGTTTTACGCAATTGAACTCAATTTAAATTCATTTTTTTTAACTGACGTACTAGTACTTAAAATGGGATTTGCTTATCATGAATTCAACATACAACTTAATTGGTGGTATTTATATAAACTTTTGGGAAAGGATGGGTTCCAGTTTTGTTAAAGAAAAAAAGTAGTTTTTTTAATCACGTACAAAGCCGAAGCCATAATTTACAAAAGAACTTACGACTAAAATGTAATTTTGCAAATAATTTTCTTTTTTACTTTAGTATGAAAATAGTTTTAATATTTTTAAAAAAGAATTTAGACAGGTAATTTGTATTAGAGTCATTAATCATGTAATATTTTACAATCACCTTAGATTTTAGGACTTATTCGTCAGTAAGTTCTTTTGCAAAACGGGCCCTGGTCTTCAATTTATCATGGGGAATGGTTGTTTAAATTGTTGAAAAGTCATACGTTTTGATGCTCTTGATTTGGGCAATATTTTATAATTTCAAATTTTCTTAAAGTTCTTTAAAGTTTTAAGTATCTATATTTGATTAACATCACTTGTCGAATACTTGTATTGTTGCGCGTACTGTTGTAGTTTCTCACTCACTGCTGTTAATATTTTCGTGAGTAGTGAAGAAACTTGGTAGAACATTTACAATATCCCGCTACGTATCTTTTTGTAAAGATTTTTATGAATTTTTGGACTCCAGTATAGGCATGGTAATTCAAATTCAATTTGATTGTTGAAAATATTAAAAATATTTAAACTCAAATATGATTTTGAACAATTTCTCCGTTCTAAAGAAAGCTAAGTAAAAGTTTAATTACCATTAGTCACTTATTAATATCTGAAGACAGAAGGATAGATGGTTTTCACATTGCCCTTCAGCCTTTTAATACAACGCTATGCATTTAGTCCATTCTGACAAAGTGTCGATGTCTTCTCTTTCATATGTGACTCATTTGGCATATTTTTCGACAGAACTCATAATATTTATGAATTTTGTTACTAATTAGAAGATAGGGGTTCCCTAAATTTTGACCATCTTTAAAATCAGTGATTTAAGTTTCTTATTCTGAACTTTATTCACATCGTCAGTAATGACTTGTCCAGCAAGACTATAGTTGAAGAGGAGAGGCATTGAACACGTAGGAGGATTTTGTTTCAGATGGTAGATGTCTAGACACTAAAAAGTTTTGTTTTAATTAAAATTTTGGAAGAAATAGTCGAAGAATACTTGGAAGAAATACAGGGCTGGATCAACTTATATGGTGGAATGAATGGCTGGACTTTTTTAAATGAAGAATATTACTAATGTTTACGGCTTCAATTTCTTTGTTGACAAATTTTAATTCAAAAGGAATATACAGTTTTTTTTTAAGAACTAATCTCTTCTGTAAGTTTTAAAAGTGTCTAAAATAAAGGTGATTGACAAAATCTATAATCACTGATCCCAGCCTGTATTCAGGTGTTGAAGAATAAAATAGACCATTTTAAAGTTTCAAAAAAACAGGGCCAAGTTTAGCGCGGATGTGATGCAGATGAACTGTATTTTTGGGATAGAAATGAAACAAAAGAGATATTTAGGTACAAAGTATATATGTACCAGACCTTTTGAGAATCTGAAATCTAATGTTTTCTACGGAGTAGACTGTTAGAGAAACAAAGAGTATCGGAGTAAGCGGCTGTGAAATAAAGTTAAAAGGAACGTTATTTTAAAATAAAGATTTACCCATCTTCTTGCAGAACAATTATTTACTAATTTTTACGCATATTGCTCATTGGTTACATTTTTTTAAAATAACATTGTGCTTCAAAATAATATTTAAATTTAATAAAATATATTTTCACACAGGTTAAATAATACAGGCACGTGGAAGGAGGAGCCCCCCCCCCCCCCCCCCGCATTTCCCCACATACTTTTTTTTCAAAACAATACAATATTTATATAATATTTATTAGCGCAGACACAATTACAATAAAAATATTGGCAAAAGCACAGCATATAAGAATCATCAATTGTTCATACATTTAAACAATAATTTAGAATGTGAAGATATGCATAAATCATACAATCATTTGTACAATAATTATGTAATACAATCATTTTAGATATATGACATTTTTTTAATAAAAGAGTGTGTTATTTTCAGTATTTCAGGGCATTGGCTATTAAAACATATTTAGCTTAACTTTTTAGTTAAACATAAACATAACCTTTTACTGTTAAAAGGCTGCACCCCCCCCCCTTTTTTTTGTTGCAGTATAGTCAAATAGTCCCAGGGGTATGTATTGATAAAATATGTTTGTCGAAAAAAGTTTAAAAGTTTGAATCTCCCTCCACTCTTTCCACATCCACGAAATAAGATTTTCAAGTCTGGACACCCCCTCCCCTTTTTTCCTTGTCAAAGATTGTTCAGGAAGGTTTTTCAATATATTTTTTCTGGTTAGCTGCCTCCCTTTTTTCAAGAAAAATAAGTTACTGTCTGTAATAGCTGAGAAAAATGTTACATTCTACCGTTTATTCTGTGGCAAAAATGTAACCAAAGATAACAAGCCAAACTTGTATATTACTATCGCTCAAACATTTCATTAAATTGCGTTAATATGGCGCTCCTTACTGTTGTTTTGGATTCACCCGGAGGCTATGAGGTGACACATATCCGTTGTAACAAGGTATGCTATTAAACCGTTCATTATACATGGAAATATTTTAATGACTAATTGTCATTTGTCTTTCAGAAAACTACCAAAAAAATTATCGTATTAATGCACGTATGCTCAGCTGATCAACCTTAATTTGTGCACTGTTTACTGGTTTACTTTCGTTTTGAGATTCAAACAATATTTCTTTATTAAAACACTTTCAGTCGTTTAGAGATTCCCAAAAGGAACCTTAAGAGTAAAAAGTCACTACCTCTGATCAGGCATCATCAGCTTTCTCGGGGCAACGCGCGGCTGAGATATAAGGTATGGCGGCAACTTTGTGTAACAATTTGTGGGACCACAGTAAAATTTACACCTCTTTATAAATAGAGCTTGGACCTATAGGGTCGGGATTGGTTTTAGTCTTTACAAAAAGCTTGTTGATTTCGTTACGGTCGATGACTTAAGGCTACATACATGTAATAATTCATTTTCATTTTGATACAGTATGTAGAGATAGGAGGAACCTTTCCAAAGGCATTTAACATGAAGCATGATTATATTGTCAACACATTTTGAGTTTGTTAACAAATAAGTAATGTTACTTAATTTGATTTTTATTTATAACTCATTGAAAATAATGGAAATGTCTATATTCTTATTTTTTCTCGATGTCTTATTTTACAACACATCTGGGTTGATATTGTAAAACATGTCATTAATGTATACTAATTATTAGAATTAAATCCAATGGAGTGTTAATACTGATATGTTATTATATTGTTTAAAAACTTTAGCCTAGATCTGAAATGTATTAACTCGGTACATGTATGTATTTCTAAATATATTAAGCTCAGATAACACAGACGGGAACTAGTAGTACAGACTGAATAAAAGCAATATGTAATACACTAAATTGATTAGATTCTAAGGAATATATATGTACAATAGAAATCCATCGCAGCTCATCGCAGGCAAGAATATCTGTGTCGAGTAACACATAGTGAATAATTCTTGTCCTCGGAGAAAGTGTTCTATACTGAGGTATACATGTTGTTTCGCTTTACTGTGTTTTAGTTACAGTCTAATTTACGATTAGCTTTCTCTTTAAATAGTGTCTTTCATATCTAGAATGAACATGCATAAAAGATAGATAATTGAATGAAAATACACAAGACCTTTAAAAAATTTTAATAGTCTTTGAAAATACAAGAATCTATAAGAGTGTGGCACCAGGTGGATTCGAACCGCTACTCTAAAAAAGTATCTCCGGCTTATATACTCAGCTGTTTTACCAATTTAGCTATTCTGGCTCTGAAAATAGAATGTACAAATGCAAACTAGGTTTGTAAAAACATGTTTCCTTATTTTGTAGGTTTTTTGTGAATTTCGACCCAGGGAAGGGATTCCCCTAAAAGATTCCCATCTTAAAGTATCCCTTACATCACAACCTACCAAAAGATCAAAATTTATTTAGGGGCAGGCCTGCCCTGAAGGACTTCTAGGCCAAAATTCATGCAAAAAGCTGTGCTTTAAGAAACAATATGCTGTTTTGGTCAACTTTAGAGGTTAATTTTAAAGTTTTAAATAATAAATTTTAGGTTCAAGCTACAAATTTGAAAAAATTAGACATATATACGGTAGTTAACAACTATTGAACATTGATTTTTAAAAGTGACTTTTTCCGGGAAATTGTTCTCTCCTATATATAAATCAATTCTTTTCAAATAGTAAATACAAATGTTTGGGATTTCTGTTTCGTTTGGAACGGCTAAATCATAATTCATCCATACAGAAAATAAGACATTAATAAAACATAAAACGGTTTCAGTGTCATAATAAATGACTGTTTGCAACAAATATTGTTACTTTTTATACCATACATTATGAATATCTTGAGGTATTTTTTTGTATATGATTTGCAGAATATTACTGCTCTTGAGTACAGTAATTGTTCAGAAATGTACCTGCTTAGAAAAGGGAGATGATAGCTGACACTTGATGGAAATGAATGAAACAGTTTCTTGTAATATTTATGTTACAGATACTTATTTCATAGAATTCTTGTGATTCCGAAGAATGGCAGACAAAGGTAAGTTTTGAAATGGTAACAAGAAAAGTTTTATCAAATGATTTCAAGGTATCACACTGGTAGTTTTACTAGTATAATTCTATAATAAAAAATCTTTTATCGAATAAATATCTTGCAATTTTAATTGATTTTATTCCTGTTTAGATGCTTTTTCCCCTTCCAATCAAAACTGCATTTAGTAATATTTAGATGTGTTTATTCCAATAAAATGAGGAAGGGCTGAGAAAAAGGGAGAAATGGGGAATGTCAGAGATTAGCGAGATGAGAGGAGAGGAAAGGAGGAGAAAAATGGGAATACGAGAAACGAGGAGATGAGAGGTCAACATATAAGTTGTGGAAGCAAGGAGGAAGGCTAATGTCTGTCCTTTTCTGCATAAAGGAGACATTATCTAAGTCCCAAGGCATTGGATAGCAATAGCTTAGACATAAAAAGATATTTTACTTGATCATACATGTAGATTTAATTGAAGTTCGTTACATGTTGTTGTATGTCTTTATCTGTACTGCAGATGTTCCTCTACATGATGCTATCAAACCCCTACAATGGCTGTTAGGCAAATGGAAAGGCGATGGAAAAGGTATATATCCCACCATCGAGGATTTTGACTACCTTGAAGATTTAGAATTTTACCATGTTGGCCAACCCATGCTCCAATTTAGGTATGTTTCTTTAAAATAATATTAGGAACGTTTTGATTTCTTTTCTCTTTACCTTTGTTTCCGTTTTGGAAAGTAGCAATTAGTTACTTTCTGTGTTCTTGAAGCTTTTCCTCTGTAAACAAGGCGACAAATAAACCACTTCACAGAGAAGCAGGATTTCTTAGAATCAAACCTGGAACAAATAAAATTGCCTTCATATCTTCACACAACAATGGTAAGTACATGTATTTATTCTCAAGATTAAATGTTTCGATCTGTTCAAAATATTAATACATAGAGATTTATTTTAAAGTAACATTGCATCATATCGGAAGGTCCTTTTCAACCATTTACATGTATATAAGCACAATACTCTATATTTCTTTCACGAAATGTTTTTATCTTAGCTGATGAAAAAAAAGGTAATTCTCGCAGTAACATTTATTTGTTCATAAAAAAAATTCAATGGTCCCTTTGCAGACTAAGATTCCTATGATTTTTTTTCAAATACTTTAATTCACTCTTTAGAAGTTTCCGGTATCATTTCCTTTGACGGAAACAGAGAATGAAATAGTTAGATTTTAAATGAAAAGATTTCTACATTTATTCAAGAATTCTTCCAACTTTTCTCGTGACCTATTTTTCTATTCAGGTGTCAGTGAAATGGCAGAGGGGACAGTGGACAGTCAGTGTGTTAATGTTGAATCACACACTCTAGGCAGAATGAGTTTTGGGAAAGACCCCAAAACAAAAAAGGTATAGAGAGAGAGAGAGAGAGAGAGAGAGAGAGAAAGCACTAGAAAACCAACAACACTGTATATCCTAAATTCTAATTAAATAGGTACAAGGTCAAGGATTGAATGAATATATATATATACACCCTGTATAATTATATATATCCGTTCAATTATGAAAATCGCACTTCACCAGAGTACGTCCGACAAACCGGACGTATTTCATTGCGATCCGGATATCTTCTTTACAAACTTTCAAATTAAACATGTAACATTCATGGCCGTAGGAACCGGGGGGTGGGGGGGCATGGGGGGAGCCGTGCCCCCCCCCCCAATAATTTTGCCGATATATAGATTACTGTAGTAAACATACTATATGCTTGTGCCCACTCAATAAAAATGTCTGATGACCTTTTTTTCTGCTTGTCAAGGAATTTAAAGTAGTTGACGACCTTTTTTTTTTTTTTTTTTTTTTTGCTTGTTGGGAAATTTTTGGTAGTGCCCCCTCAACTGTCATCTGAAAAATGTTTGACTGTGCCCCCCCCCCTTCCTGCGGGCCTGACATTGTAAATATACAGTGTTTGGTAGTTTAGGTGTAGTGCTAGTTGATTTTTGATTCTCAGTTTCCTTTGTTTTTATGACTTCCTAACTTTTTTCTTTGTCCTGAGGAAGGGACGGGGATTCCCAAAAATTTGTTAATTTTTAATTTTTCGTGTCGTTAGTCATTTTTAGTACTTCTGATTAGACATCATGAATGCATCAGCTATTATGACTAATTTCAAATTCGCAAAGTGAATTCCATTACAGCGTGATAAACAAAGTACAGCCCTCTGATCACTAAGACGGATCTTTTAATTTTTTTTATTAATAATATTTATCATGACAATTTTCTAAAACAAGATGAAATAAAAATGTAGTGCATGTATATTTAGTATACATACATGCATAACAAATCGATGTTGAAGACAATAATACATTTTTAGAGTTATCTTTCTTAGCAGACCTTAGTGAAAATTAAGTTATCGCTTTACTTTTTAGTAAGTAGAAGTGAAAAATATTCATTCATTGAAGATGGTTTTCCAGTATCTAAATAAAAGAAAAAATGTGTTTTTAAGTAATTGTCTTTTGCTTTATAAAAATGATGAATCAACTGTTTGGCAAGAAAGTTTATTGCTCACTGACTCTTGATATGTATATATTCGACAGCTTTTTAATGAAATGAGGATTCAATTACTGGTGGGTTTTATTTGATATTTATATGTCCTGACATTTTGCTACTTCGGAAAATGAATAAAATATTACTCCATATTTACTTCGGAAAAAACAAACATTGATTAAAAAGGCTGCAATTTTTTTCCATGTTTTCTTAATTTTAATTAATTTTATGCCATGAACAAGAATTCAGATCTAGCCTAGATAGATATCGTTTATCTAACAAATATACATGTACATGTATATTGACAAGTGGTTTGTAATGCTTGTTACATCTAATCTGTACCCACTATCTTAAGCTCTGAGAGCAGAGAAATGGTTAAAATATTATGCCTAACACATCGTCAAAGTACTGTCTTTTTCCTCCAATCCTTACATCTTATATTTTGCTTAGAAAGACTGGAATAAATATGTTAGTTACACAAGTATCATAAAGTAGTGTATTATAGGAACATTTTAAGACAGCACTCCTGAGAGACATTTAGAGATTTATTCTTTGTAATTTCCTTGGGTCAGTATTACATACAAAATTATAAAAATTTGGTAGGGGGGGGGGGGGGGTTGTTAGTTAAAAAGATTTACTTTTTTTTATTTTCTTGGGTCCAAGTATTATATACACACTTACACAATTTGGTTTTTTCAGTTAAAGAGGACGATGAATCTTGATGGAGACACGCTACACCAGATTTTATACATGGAAACAGATGTTACTCCTCTTACAGAACATCTTCGAGCAACATACAAGAAAGTTTAAATTTCGTAAAACTCCTTGTTTGAATTTGAACGGTTTTAACATTCTAAACTTAAAAAAATATTCAGTTTATTACTGTGCATGTTTACTCATTGAAATCATAAAATATGTACAATAGTGTATCCTTGAATAATTTCAATAAAGAAAAGTGGAGATGGTGTGAGGATTCAGAATAAGAATGAAATGTGGAGATAGCGAACAGTAATAAAGTTCAGTAACATTACAAATTTGGAACAGAGCATACAGGGACCCCTGGGAACATCAGGCGCAATGCAGGAGTAAGCATACCCTGTCAACCGGGCACAACCACCTTTTGTCTTGATCGGGAAAACGGAATTATCCGTAGACAAATGACCTAATCATTTGTATTAGAAACGTCATTCGACAAAAAAAAACAGGTTGTATTTGACAATATTATTATATTGTCAATAGAAATTGCGAAATGTTGACTTTCTCTACTCCTCACTGAAATATTGACAGCAGTGAAGGAGAAACTTCAGGAGTACTGTAAAACAATATATTAACAGTGGGACGGACAACTTCGGAATGGACATTTTTCCGAACTTGCGCACCCTTTTCCTTTAAAGCTATTATCTTAGAATTTTTTTTAAATGGTGGGGTTTTTATATTTAAATTGATTTATGAAATAAAAAATCCAACATTTTTAGCTAGTTTTTGAGATATTAAGTGGCAAAGATAAAAATCCCATGGGGAAACATGTACTTAAAATTACCCCATAAAAAACCCCACAAAAACCCCATGGGGTTAAAAATTTTCCCCATGGGGAAAATTTACCCATACAATTCAGTGTGGGGTTTTTTAACCCATGTGTTGCTTATATTGTAATGTGGGGTTTTTCCCCCCACATTTCTTCATCAAGGGGTTAAAAAACCCATATATCAATATTTATTTTCTCTAAGATAATTCCTAAAGACTTCTTTTTAAATGCATCATTTTCTTCTTTGTCTTTCTATAATAGTTAGTAGTTATTACAAATATATATATTCATTTATTTGTGTATATATTCCTTAATTTCATGGAAACGTGTTTTAGAAAGTTTCATATGAAACAGTCAAGAAAATAGTTAACTCTTTTTAATCATTTCTAGCTGTTGGCAAATTTTCATCCCCACTCCCCTTACATCCACCACTCATAAGTTTGGATCATGGTCATCCATTTCTAGTAAGCTAAATGTTTTATATCTTAACCCATACAGTTATATACCCTGAAATAAAATATAAAAATCCTTTGATCCACCACATATATTTAAAATTTTTAATGTCCACTCCCCTTGGATCCACCATTCATAAGTTTGGATCTTGTTCACACATGACTTTGAAGTCAATTAGACATAATTATTAAAGAATAAGAAATTATCCCAAGATCCACCTACCAATATTTTGGATCCCAATCACTCATTAAAAATATTCATATTGATTTAAAGTCTTGATATTTGAGGTTACATTTAAAATAAATAATCAATAAATATCTTCAAAATCTTGAATCCCATTCCCTTTGGATCCACCATCAATTTCTGGATCTTGATCATCTATTAAACTTGCCTCGGGTAAGACAGAAACCTAATATAAATTACACCCCTTCCCTAATATTCACCTCATAAAATACTGATCAGAGTCAATCATGCAACTGTACAATAAACAAAGTGTTTTACAGTTTAATTTAAAATGCTTACAACCTAATGTACTATATTAATATCAACAAATTGTAAATACATGTGTCAAAAATAAACCAAATATTTTTTGTCATGTTCCATTCAGGTATATACAGGCCTAAATAAAGTTATATAGGTCCCCATTCAACTTGCCAGGATTTATAGCATGCCAATAACTTACATCAGTTACATGTAAACAAAAGTTGCTTGTCTGTAATGACAGCAGAATGGACAGGTCAACTGGTGATGTTAGTGGAGTAATTCACACATGCTAAATCAAATAGATTGATTTAAAACTTGCATGAATTAATCCTTGTTACAATAGACTTCTACGATAGGGATAGCCGACAGGTGATGTTTCTCTTCTGTTCATAAAGCGCTCTTCTGACTTGGACCAAGTGTTGACTAAAACATGAACAACACAGAGAAATCTTATATCGGAAGCCAAAGTATTTTTTTTTTTGGTACCTTTTTTTTTAATTTAGAATAATGACAATTATTTGGTATGTTTTTTACTTATAATATGATACTTGTGAAATCGTTCTCTGTGATTTGTTATTTTTCCTTTTTTTTTTTTTTTTTTTTTTTGCCTGATCAGCTAAATAAAACGCAATGAAAGCTACATGCTGAAATGTTATATAAGTGGAAAACCTGGGCGGTCTTGCATGGCTATATAATTATCTGATTATTGAGTAGCTGCGTGGGCTATTACGATGATGTTTTGGGTGACTTTGCTTATAACACAGTTTTATCGTAGCTCTGATTTTACTTCTTGGTTTTATTTGTAATTAATAAGTTTCGAGAAAACAATTATATCGTTTATAGTTAGATCGAAATATTTCCGTCCCTCCTTTTCCCTTTTTCCCCCCTAAAATAAAAGTGATATGTTAATTGTTAGTTTGACATAAATGATACATCCAATTTTTTCTATACAAACATCATTTCCTATCAATTAATTACCTTGATTTATTCACGTTTACACGCACTTACCGCATACATGGCTATTTAGCCCAAAGAGGTTACCCCCCCCCCCCAAACCTTTTTTGATTATCTTTCTTAAATAGATTTTTGCTTTCAGAATCTTTTATTAATAAAATACGGGGTTGAATCCTCGAGAGCTCCTAATTACATGTAGAGCAGTTAGCAATTAGCAAACATAACAATATAGAAGGGGTTCGGATATTTTCTAACCTTTTTCATATTATCGTAGACTGTGACTATATATATATATAACAGAAAAACTGGACCCTTTATAGTTCTGGTCTATATTTGCTTATTTTTATTCTTTCAGCAAACCAAAGTACACAAACAAAAACTTAATCAGTGAATTCTTTTGTAATCATTGTTTTTACAACACATTTGTTCAAGACATCTATATCTTTCGAAGAAACCTGAAGACTATGAAAAATGACGTCCGAAAATTAATGTGAAAATAAAGAAAAAATAATTAATTCTGCATGGCAAACGCATTAGTTCGCATAAAGCACCCCTTCCCCTATAGCATGTATAGTCCTATCCTATATGAACACATCCACTACACATCGATGAACTTACAATGTATATATATCTGCTATCGATGTTCACTTCTGTTTACACCCGATAATCAGCCATTGTCACAGTTCACGAAAGCGTGACTGTGATCCGCCACCCCTTCCCAATCGGATCATTAATTTTATTTGTAACTTTGAGACAAGGAAATCGGACTTCCAAAAGACTTTGGATTTAATCATTTAATTGTTTGTAAATGATAGAAATATCAAATTTCTAAACACATCAAACATTAAACAAAATTGTACATATTTTTTAAAAAAAAATCTAGCTATGTTAAAAATTCTTATTCGAGAAACTTTGAATGAAAAATTAAACTATTAATTTAATCTGTATTTTATTATGTAAAGTCAGTTTACATAATTTGATTGGACATCAGGCATGGCCTATATAAGTCCTCTCCAAGAAGGTCAGGGTTACAAATGTTAAGAATTGTCAATGATTTACAATCATGATGAAATAATTCATAATAAGTTACGTACATTAATTTCTTTTGTTAACTACAAAAATTAAACTATATGGCTAAACTGATTCATTAATACATAAAGCCTTTGATTTCTTTTTTTTTTTTTTTTAATCTTTTTTTTTCGGGGGGGGGGGGATCTGCCTTTAATAAATGTTGTGCTAAGAGGAACTTACGAAGTTATATAAATTTGTTTCCAATCCATTTAATGTATTCAAAACAAATCGTTTGTGGTACGGGATATGCAAACTATATGACACGGTACGTATACTGGCATTTCGGTAGATTAATTTGTATCCTATTTTTGAAACCGTTAAATACTATTTCATCCCATGCAAATGCACGGAAATCATGTAATAGAGGGTACAATTATTCAGTGATTAAAAATATTGCATGCTATCGATCTTTCAATTTGGGTACTACTAAACAGAGAACCCTAGAGAACTCTAAAGAACCCTAGAGAACCTTAATGATTTTTAATTATTTATTGTTTGTAAATGAAATATTTATGTTTTAAATAACCAGTATATCATACAAAAACAAAATAAAATTTAAAAAAAGAATATTATGCCAGGTGTTATGCTTATTTTCAATGGAATACTAATGTATGAAGACTTCATCATACTTTGTGTTATTTTAATTATTTTTTCAAATAATTTTACTCCAGAGTTAATAACTAAGAGTTCTATATAACTTAAAAAATAAAATTTAATGAAAAATATTGTGAAAAAGAATTGTAAAATTATGTGGTAAAATTATTATTTCAATTAACAACGTATTTGAAATTCAGTCGGGATCGGGATGACATAAAATATTACACTACTCTATGTTGTTACGTTTTCAACTTTTTTCGAGGGAAAACATCCATAAAAAATTCGTGTTATTGATTTTATAGATAGAATATGATTTATAAAGTAAAAATAAACTCAATTATGCATAAAATTTATTTGAATTGACCAAATAAACCTTGAGTTCTGTAGGGTTCTCTAGAGTTCTCTAGGGTTCTCTGTTTAGTAGGACCGCTTTCAATTCACACCTTTGATTGAAAATCGATTGCAAAATTCACCCGCAGGGCTGAATTCACACCTTATAGAATTACCGGCTAATAGAGGCATATCGAAACCAAGACATATATTCAAGAATTCGGCTTCACATCAATCGATATCTGTCATTACATAATATTGACAGGGTTGTCCCTAAGACCCGGGAGCCGGGAATTTCCCCGCCTTCAAAGACATAATGTCCCGCGCGGTTAACATGGCATTCCCACTCAAATCCCTGTTACATGTAGAGGAGGAACCCGAGACCCCCTTCAGTGTTCCCTGCTATTTTAATTCTTGGGGACAACCCTGATATTGGTAGTCCTGTATTCATGCAAGTGCACGGTAGCATTGCAAAAATAACGAAGGCTGTGTAATATAAGAGAGTACATGTGAACTCAAAATTAATGTTGTATAATTTCAGACTTTGAAAAT